AAAGCAGAGCTGCACTTATGAACAGCAATGATACAGTGTTTCCTTGGTTACCGCTGTAAACAAAGCAGCTGCTTATGAACAGCAATGATACAGTGTTTCCTTGGTTACCGCTGTAAACAAAGCAGAGCTGCACTTATGAACTCTTAATATGCATCGTTCTGAGGCAAGATGAAAAGAAAATACCACGTAAACTTTTCTAAAGACAGTCAGTTCCCTTCAGAGATGCATTCATATAAACTCCTGCACCAACTGTATCGTGATTTGTTTGGCATCTCAACCGATTTCAATAGTCACGTATTTGAATCGATTTTCAACCGGCTCGCGGTTCATCGTTACATTCCTAGAAAATCGCCTTTAAAGTTGTCCAAATGAAGTCCTTAGCAATGCATATTACTAATAAAAAATTTGATATATTTACGGTAGGAAATTTACAAAATATCTTTATGGAAAATAAATACTTAATATCCTAATGATTTTTGGCATAAAAGAAAAATCGATAGTTTTGACCCATACAGTGTATTGTTGGCTATTGCTACAAATATACCTGTGCTACTTATGACTGCTTTTGTGCTGCAGGGACACATATATGGTCTCCTGCTGTTCGGGACCTGAGGAGGCTGTTCAATTACGATTCATAACGGAGTGAAATCACAGTAATTGAGACATGTGTGGTGTGGCTTTGTGTCCCCAGCTGCAGGACTTCGAGGAAGCGCTGAAACAGAGGGATGAAATCATCACGCAGCTCACCTCTAATCTGCAGCAGGCGCGAACCGAGAAGGAGGAGGTGATGAGGGAGTTCCTGGAGCTGACGGAGCAAAGCCAGAAACTCCAGATTCAGTTCCAACAGGTATCAGACCTGCGCTACGTATCGGTAGCATTTCTGTGTCATTATTAAAGTGGGCGAAACTGAACTTTATTATTGCATTAGAACAGCTAACAGGAAACATATAATAATAACTGTAATGCTACTGTAACGATAATTATAGTGATTGCTATGATAACGATAACTATAGTGATTACTCTGATAGCAATAATGAAAACTAACCACACTATAATGATATTTAAAACGATAACAATAACTATAGGAATAATAACTATAGTGATAACTAACAGTAACTAATGAGAACTATAAAAATGGCGATAAATATAGTGATTACTTTAAAAATAACTGTAATAACTAATGATACTTTAGCGAAAACGGTAGCGGTAACGATAACTATAACAATAATGATAACTATAACTATAGCGATTACTGTAATGATAACTATAGTGATAACTTTAGCAATTACTCTAACATTAACTATAGCGATAACTATATCGATTACTCTAATAGTAACTATAGCGATAACTATAGTGATTACTCTAATAGTAACTATAGCGATAACTATATCGGTTACTCTAATAGTAACTATAGCGATAACTATATTGATTACTCTTATAGTAACTATAGGGATAACTATAGCGGTCACTAGTAGTAACTATAGTGATAACTATAGTGATTAATAGTAACCATAGCGATAACTAATGATAAATATATCGATTACTGTAATAGTAACTATAGTGATTACTCTAATAGTAGCTATAGCGATAACTAGTGATTACTCTAATAGTAACTATAGCGATAACTAATGATAACAATATCGTTTACTCTAATAGTAACTATAGCGATAACTATATTGATTACTCTAATAGTAACTATAGGGATAACTATAGCGGTCACTCTAGTAGTAACTATAGCGATAACTATATTGATTACTCTAATAGTAACTAGATAGCTACAAAAATATTGAAAACGATAGCGGTAACTGTAACGATAATTATAGCGAACTATAATGATACTATAGTGCTAGCGATAACTATAATAACTGTAAAAATTACTATAACTAGTTACTGTAAAGGTAATGTTAGCTATAATGTTAACTATATTAGTATCCAAACTGTTAACCTTCTGCTGCAGTTTTGTCATCTGCTGCTTTAAATCCTCAAGCTCTGTAAAGTCAGGTGGATTCTGCATAGATTAGCATAAAATACATCCGCCCACATACAGTGTGAAGCAGTAATTAGCTAAAACTTTTTGACTGATAGTTTTATGTTGAAAGAAATCAATAGGCATAGTAATCAACATTTCTCTCACCTCGTCCACTGTTTTGGAGTTTTTTGAAGTTGTGTTTTATTTCTCTGATATCCTGACGCTCTGGATCTTCCCTCAGCTGCAGGCCGGTGAGATACTGCGGAGCTCCAACATCAGCTCCACCGCCGCAGATCTGCTCCAGGCCCGTCAGCAGATCACGCTGTACCAGCAACAGCTGGACGAGAGGGACGCACAGGTCAGAGGTCACCAGGAGAAGACGCAGGAGCAGCTCCTATTGATCGCGCAGCTTCAGGAGAGTCTGAGTGAAGCCACGAGGGTGAGTTCACTATAAAACAAGTCAGCCTACTCAACCCTAGGCAGCTGTTTCCAGTCATGCGATCCAGCGTCATAAGCTTTGCTCAAATCAAACCCTAAAAAATAGTATTGTTCAAGTTGATTGCTAATGCACAGGCATGTTTTCGCACTCGAGTCCTCATTAAAACAACCAAACAGACATCTTTAAGTGAACTGAGTGAAAGACCCTTGCTGAATAATTACAGATTCTGTGCTTATTATTTTTCCTCCATTGCTTATTATCTAAGGAATCAAATTAGAGCAGTCGATTTAATGAGTTAATTGACTGACTGCATGATGTAGCCCATTAGAATGCCCCTAAAATTCAAGATACGAGGACAAAAAAATGACCCTCTTATATTTATATCGTAGTTTAGCAGTATCACACAAACAGCAGTGCTGTTCTTCCCAAATATCTACACGATTGCAAATGTGATATTGATTTTGTGCAACAGTTTAATAAACAAGAAGTTAATATTGCGTTACATTTTAGACACAATATTATCTGTTTTAGCTTAATTTCGCAAACGAAAATAGTTCCAAACAAAGCCATTGCAGAACTGTTGCATGTCTCCAAGCAGTTTCGTAACTAAATGAATTGAGTGAGTCAATGGTTCAGTGACCCATTCATAAAGAATCAGCCGTTTAAATGAATTGGTTGAGTGAATGATTCAATGACTCACTCATTAATACAGTGACTCTCTGCCACTTACTGGCGCTTTTAGTTTCTTATTTAGATTATCATTGCATTTTTTAAAAAACATTTTATATTTCAATATTAAATAAAAATACTCCTTTATTATCATTATTTATGCCATGTTGAATCAAAACATTAGTTAATAAAGCTGCATTTTTGTAATGTCCATTCAATGCTTTTCTCAATTTAACACAATGACTTTAAATGATCTTTTGGGGGTGATTTCTCAGCCAGAATTGATGTGATTAATTTGCACAAGGGCTTTAATTGTCAATTTAATTTTTTATTGTCAGCACAAGGGCTGGGAAAATAAATCGATGCATCGCTAATCGAGAAATGATTCTGCATCGATTCTGAGATTTTCCGAATGCATCGCGATTCCTTCTCGAGTCGATTCTGAGCTTAGTTTTGAACAGCAGATGGCGCTGCATGCTTTAGAAACAGCTGTACTCCTCCATGTCATCCCCATCAGAACGATATGATTGCCAGAACAAATTTACCGGGATTTTTGAAAAGGTTTTGTTCACTCTTAATGGTAATTTACAGTGAAGACTGTATGCGGAAAGAGGCTAAACTCTTCCTCTGCATATGCTGTGAAATTGAATTGCTTAACGTTCATCTGGGAAAACTGTGTGCATTATCTCACTAGATTTGTAACGTAAATCATTTATAAACCTTTGCCAACACAGGAGAATACATCAACCTATTTGTAAATATGCCATTTATTGTTCATTGCGATTTCAAAATAAAAGTTTCTGAGTTTGCATGTGGCCAAATATTAAAATTTAATAGATTTAAATCATGCTGCCCCAACCCCCCCCCGGCTCAGGATTTTATTTTATTTTTTTAACCCCTGATCGATTTATCGTCGCAGCCCTAGTCGGCACATTGTGCAATTAATTAGATTAAAAAATGCACTTGCTTGACAGCAATAAAAAGCTTGTTTAAACTAAAAATGTGCTTTTATCTGTCATCAGGTCCGCACACAAGCTGAAGAATCGTTTGCTCAGAGTTTACGAGAAAAGGACTTGCTGAATACCGAACATCAGCGTCTAATAACACAGCTTCAGGATCAGCTTCTGACTTCCAAACAGCAAGTGGAGGAAATCAACAAACATCTGTCTGCGCAAACCCAAGAACTAGACAGCTGCGAAAAAGAGCTCTCCGCGTCCAAACAGAAAGAGCGCATGTCGTCCGGAGAAATCCTGCAGCTCATGAAAACCGTCGAGGACCTCCAGCAGCGCTGCCACCAGGGAGGCCAGTCGGAGAGCGAGACGCTCCGGAGAATCGAGGACGACTGGAGCCGACGGATGGAGCAGCTGCGAGCCGAACTGGATGAAATGTACGGTCAGCAGATCGTGCAGATGAAGCAGGAGCTTCGCACGCAACACGCGACGGAGGTGGAGCGAATCCGAGCGCAGCATTACTCGGAAACCGAGAAGATCGTCCGACAGCATCAGTCAGAGCTGGAGAGGTTTAAAGCTCAGCTGTTTCAGAGCGCCGGAGGCGTCAACGTGCTAAACGTGAAGCTCATCGAGCTCCAGCAGAAGCTGCAGGAGACGCAAGTGCTGCGCGAAAAGGCGGAGCAGGAGCTAACGCAGGCGAGCGCAGAAAAACTCGGCCTGGCGCAGGAGGTGGAGCGTTTGCGCGACGAGCTGCAAATAGCGGAAATACAGAGCCCAGAGAAAATGCAACACGCTATTAGCGACCTGCGGGCGCAGCTCGATTTGGCGCACAAAGCCAACGGCGAACTAGAAGCCAAGCACGAATCAGAAATCACCAACTATAAGATCAAACTCGACATGCTGCAGCGGGAGAAAGACGCGGTGCTAGACCGCATGGCCGAATCGCAGGAGTCGGAGCTGGAACGCCTGCGAACGCAGCTCTTGTTTAGCCACGAGGAGGAGCTCTCCCGACTTCGCGACGACCTCCAACGGGAAAGCCAGCTGAATGTGGAGAACCTGCGCGACGAGATGGGCGTGAGGCACCGTGAGGCTTTGGACGATTTTGAGGGTAAGCTGCGGTCGGTGGAGAGCGAGAGAGCGGCGTTAGCTTCGGAGAGACTCGCGCTGCTCGAGGAGATCGTTGCGTTGAAAAACGACATGAATCGGGCGACGGAAAGCGAGGAGCTGCAGGCGGAAGTCGAGCGCTTGAGAGCGGAAAGCGAAGAAACACAGTCGCACGCAGCCGCGAGGAATGAGCTGTCAACAGAGCACGGAAAAATCCACCGCCTTTCCTCGGAAAACGAGGAAATGTGTGCGCGACTGAAAGACCTACAGGATGAGATCGAGAAGCAGAGAAACACGTTCTCCTTCGCTGAGAGGAACTTCGAGGTGAACTACCAGGAGCTGAAGGACGAGTACATGTGCCTGGTGAACGCTAAGCTACAGCTAGAGCAGCGCTTGGAATACGAGACGAAGCTCCGAGATCTACACACGAGACACGAGGAGGTGGATGGGAAGACACTGATGGAGAAAGACACCACCGAGCTGATGGAGAAGCTGGAGACGGCCGAGAACGAGAAGAGGCGCTTGGGAGAGCGGCTCTCGCTGATGGAAGCGGAGCTGGAGACGCTGAAGCGAGGCAGAGATGAAGAGCTGGGATCTGACCGCAGCGTCGCTGGTGGGCTGTGCTCTGTGGAGAAGACGCATCACGCGCACATCACATCTTCACGGGAGGAGCTGGATGCTCTTCGCTCGTCCCTGCCGTACAAAGACCCCTCGTCTCCGACAGCAGCGCAGGAGAGGAGGGAGAGAGAGACGCATGCGAGGACTTCACACACACACACAGCGGCGCGTGAGGAGCAGCTTTCAGCGTCGCAGGTAAGAGCCGCTGCTGTTTGTTTTACATCGACCCTCGTGCTGCAAACTCGCGATGCAACAGTTGGTCTGCGTTTATCTGCATTGCACTGCATTCAAAATGCACCAGCCGTTGCTTGATTCGATGTAGATCTCATTTCTCAGATGATTTATCCGTGCAGCACTGCAGGTGAACACTGTGGGAGGAATTGATGTGCGTTTAAGGAGCGAGAGATGATTTTGAATCGGCCAGAGTGCAGGGCGATTGTGGTTTAAAAGAGAGAGAGCGAGAGAGACAGATGAGCTTTATTCTCCCGTTTGTGTGACGCTCTTTGATCTCAGCAGCTCTGAAAGAAAATGAGTGAATTATAGACCGCTTTAAAAGCCCATCGTTTACACTTTACCGCTTCATTTTTTCCCCAAAACACCATTTATGGGTGAATCTCATGCAAACGGGTCACATTTCACCCCAAAATCAAAAGATGTTTTTGTGTAAAAAAAATTCATGCATATCCGTAGCACATTTAAAAGCCCATTATGGTTTTGTTTTGTTTTTTGAATTTTTATATTATTTATTTATATTATTATATTATTATTTTTCATGACAATTAAGCACGTTAACCCCCTAATTCTCATTGTCATAGTAAGTCTGGATTATTTTTATTCTATTCATTTTTTATTTAATTTAATTTCATTTAATTTTTAAATTAAACTATTTTTAAATCCGCAATTATACAAATTATTATGCAGTTTTTTTATTAAATGAATGGAAGCACAAATATTACCAGGATGTGGAAATAATTCACAATGTGGATAATCTAATTCTAATCTAATCATTTTCACATTACTGTCATGAGAGAGAGAGAGAGAATTTCATTTGTTTTTTATTTGTCAGTAATGATAATGTGGAAATTAATTATGATAAAAATGTCACATGGCAAGAAATCTTAATGGTCCTAAAAATAGGCGTAGTTGCTTTTATGAAGAAAAAACTATATTATTATAAATAGTGAAAAGTATAAATAAAAAAGAAAATAAATATAAATAAAATATAAATATTTCACTTTTTTAAAACTTGAAAAAAAAAATTCAAATATGACCCAGACATGTTCTTTGCAGTTTTGTGACACAGTTTTTGTAACACTAATTGTAACAGTTTTTTCAGATCGTTTTCCACCCTCTCTCTAATCTTTAATTCTCAATTAAGTGGGCTGATTTTATGAATTGACAATTTCTTCAGTGCAGGTGAAGGCTCTGAACACTGAATAGCTGTTGATATGTGAATGTGTCTGTCGTAATCACGCAGGTTTGTGATGGAGTGGATTTGTGCGGGTTTGACGGCTCTGTGTGTGTTTGTGATCCGCAGGTGGAGACGGGAGACGCTCCGGCCGATGGAGACGCTGTCAGAGCCTCGCTCATGATGCAGCCGCGGGAAATGGACGGCGCTGAGCATGTAAGTATCTGTCTGTCTGTCTGTGAGTCAATCAAACTCTTACTGTTCATCTTCAGCTTACAGCTGCAGCTCAGCAGTCTAGGAGGGAAAAAACAGGTGTAGGATTTACTTGGAAACAATTTTCACTCAGAAATTGTTACTGAAGTTCATAAATAACTGCAAAGAAATGGCAAGTAACGTACTGAAAAATGTGTAAAAATGTGTGTAAATGTGCTGGAGTGTGTGTGTGTGTGAGAGTCTGCTGCGGAGAGTTAAGTGCTATTAGGTGAATTTGCTTTTTAGTATTAGTGTAACTCTGACGTTTATCAGAAACCTGCTATTAAACCATTGGCGGTGTTTCGTGTGCAGCAGATTTTTCTCTGTAATTGCTGCTTGATCTCCATCTTCCTGTGATGGTCATTAAAATGCTTGGTTTCTGCCTGTTAACACATCAATCAGGACAGAGCTGGACCCTCTGCTCTTTGTGCCTCATATAAAAGAGCCTCACAGATGTGCTGAAGTGTGAGTGAGTGTGTCTGTGTGTGTGTGAGTCTGTGTGTGTGTGAGTCTGTGTGTGTGTGTGAGTCTGTGTGTGTGTGTGTGAGTCTGTCTGTGTGTGTGAGTCTGTCTGTGTGTGTGTGTGAGTCTGTGTGTGTGTGTGAGTCTGTGTGTGTGAGTCTGTGTGTGAGTCTCTGTGTGTGAGTCTGTGTGTGTGTGTGAGTCTGTGTGTGAGTCTGTGTGTGTGTGAGTCTGTGTGTGTGTGAGTCTGTGTGAGAGAGTCTGTGTGAGAGAGTCTGTGTGAGAGAGTCTGTGTGAGAGAGAGTGTGTGTGAGAGAGTGTGTGTGAGTCTGTGTGTGAGCGGGTGTGTGTGAGCGGGTGTGTGTGAGTGCGTGTGTGCGTGCGTGTGCGTGCGTGCGTGCGTTTGTGTGCGTGAGTGTGTGTGTGTGTGAGTGTGTGTGAGTGTGTGTGTGAGTGTGTGTGTGTGTGTGAGTGTGTGTGTGTGTGAGAGAGTGTGTGAGAGTGTGTGAGTGTGCGTGAGTGTGTGTGTGAGAGTGTGTGTGTGTGTGTGGCTCATATGAACGCTTTTGTTAGACTCACAAGACGTCAGTGTTATTTTAGTGTCATTGAGATGCTGTTATAGTTTTTATTAATATTTTGAATTAGTTTTTATTTTTAAATTTTCAGTTATCATTTTCATTTTAGCTCGTTTTATTTTTATTTTTTGTCAATTCTATAGTTTTTTGTAAAAATGTCTATATACTTTTTTATTAATTTTATTTCAGTTGTTCAAGTTAAACTAAACAAAAATGAAATATGTTGCCTTGGCAACTAGCTGAAATAAAATAAGTTTGTTTTTGTATTTAATTTTATTTCTGTTGTTGTTTTTTTAAGTAAAGAAAATGTATTTTTAAGATTTTTTTTGTTTTAGATTACTATAATAAACTGTTATTATTATTATTATTAGTTTTTGTTAGTTTAGATAAGTATAATAAAAGTTTTTATAGTTTTTGTTTAGTATAATAAACTAAAAAAAATAATTTTAGTGTAATAAAGTAAATTGTTTATGTATTAGTTATAATAAAGTTATGATATGGATTAGTTTAATAAACTAAATAAATACATTTTTATGATTTTAGCTTTAGATGAGTAAATAAAGTAAAGTAAGTAAACTAAATAAATACATTTTAGTATAAATAACTAAAACGTTTATGGTTTTAGATTAGTATTATAAACTGAATACATTTTATTATAAGTAACTAAATGAACTTTGATGGTTTTAGTTTAGTTTTAGGCACCAAACAGATACTAACTGCAGAATTACTGACTGTTTCCAAACAATCCTACTGTCTGGTCTTTGGTCAGTCAATCAGATAGTCCCGCCCCCAGTCTCACGCCATTGGTTGATCATGAAGTTGTCATTTCAGGCCAATCAAACTAAACAAACGTTTTAAAAGCATACAGTGTGTTTTCACTCTTTAGGATGCAAAAATACCAGTTGATTTTTTTTGGGGGGATGAACCTTAAAACTATCTCATGGAAACAAATCTTAATGGTCCTAAAACAGGCTTAGTTGCTTTTATGAAATATATTGTTTTATTTTATTTTTATTGATTTAAAAAAAAAATTTTTTTCTTTATTTGGATTTGTTTAATTTTCATTAAAATAATGGAAGTACAAATATTACCATAATGTAAAAATTATTTACAGTGTAGATAACCTGATTATTTTTCACATTAGTGTTATGAGAGTAAGAGGATATTTAATCATCATAAAAATAATGCCTCCGCAACAAATCATAATTGTCCAAAATCAGGCTTTGCTGTTAAAATATTGTATTTATTTATTCAAACATTTTTAATATTTTTTAAATTTATTTATTTTTAAAAATAATTAAAAAATTTTTTTTTTTTTTTTTAAGTCGGTAGTATGATCCAGACATGTTCTTTGCGGTTTCGTGACACAATATTCTTGTTTTTCAGATCATTTCCCACCATCTCTCTGATCCTTTATCCTTAAATAACGGGCTAATTTTGTAACAGACCTTTCGTTTGATATTATTTTGCCTTGATTTGGGGCATGTTTTTGCTGATGGCCTCTGATGTATTCTAGCCTCTGAGAGTTCTAGTTTAAACACAGAGGAATGTCTCTCTGTCCGTCTGCAGGAGGAGTGTCGTCTGCAGCTGGAGGCTCAGCGCATCAGTCTGTCTCAGATCCACGCCGCTCAGCTGGAGCTGCTCCGAGAGAGTCTGTGTGCGCAGACGCAGGAGGAGAGGAGGAGAGAGAACGGTCATCCCGCAGGTCACATCAAACGCTCTTTCAGATCCATTATTAAGAGATCCATCAGCATGAAAGAGAGAGGCACTGTCAAACGGCTCACTTACTCTGTGCTCGTACCCAGAGATTATTTATGTCATGGCTGCTAACTGATGTGATAGTTAGGATTGAATGCAGTCCCAAAATGATTGATTGAATTGAAAGAACTAAAAAAAATAAGCGTTCAGTAATTTAACAGCACATTCACATGTTCGCAGTTCACATGTTGCAGTGTGAAGCCTGTAAACAGTGGCAGGATTTCCTCACGTGTTTCTCCTGGTCCTGCAGAGCTCATGGCAGAGTCTGAGGAGTGCTCAGCGCGTCTGGAGATCGAGCGGCTGAAGAGCGACTATCAGCAGCAGATGGAGGAGACGCAGGAGCGCTTCACGGCCGAGGTCCTCCTGCTGCAGAGGAGACTCCAGGAGCTCACAGGAGCCGGCGAGATCTTCAGGTGACTAACCTCAAGTCTAACATCACACCACATAGAAACAAGTGCTTTACATCCATTCGTGTTTGTCCCAGCCAGCTACACTACTGGCCATAAGTTTGGAATAATTAAATTTTTTTTCATCTGACCCAGAGGAAGCATGTAGATTAAAAACAAAAGTGGACCAAGAACAGATCCTTGAGGCACTCCACGGGAAGAAGTGACAGTATGAGACTTGTTTAATATTAATTGTTTTCCCTTTTTTCCCCAAGAGATAACATGGTCAAATTCACAGGGCTTTTTAGATGAATACATGTTTTTGATAGTCTCTTCTGCTCACCAAGGCTACATTTATTTATTCAAAAATACAGTTAAAAAAGTTAAATATTTTCAACATTGATAATAATCAGAAATGTTTCTTGAGCAGCAAATCAGCATATTAGAATGATTTCTGAAGATCATGTGACACTGAAGACTGGAGTAATGATGCTGAAAATACAGCTTTGATCACAGAAATAAATTACAGTTTAACACATATTCACATAGAAAACAGATATTTTACGTCATAATAATATTTCACTATTTTTTACAGTGTGTTTGATCAAATACAGTCAAACCAAAAATTAAAGACTCCAGATATCATTTTTGATATTTTTTTACTAGTGGGTGCAGGACACTATAGTTCATTTAGTAAATGAGGATAGCAAAATAAAGTAAACTGAGACATATTATACCCAAAAATTCTTCATACAGTGGACTACCTGTAAAATTTGGGATCAAAAATGATTCAAACACTTCGACTTGAGCATGTTTTGCTTAAGTGTTTTTTCTTTAATTGCTAATGCGATCTTTTTACACCACAGACTGAACAAAATGAAGCACTGCTTGGTAATTAGTTGAGCTAAATTGGTTTTATCTAATTGTGTATTAAATTTAACAGCTGAGTTTTATTTTTAAATCTACAAGTATCACTTCGATTTGCCATCATTTATTGCTTTATTTATTATATTAATAATACACTTAATGGAATGTTAAGAATATGACATAAAACATGACATACAATTAATAAGGATAGAAAATCTTTGCCTCTATAAAGGTAAAAAATGCACCTGTAAATCAATTTAAGGGTGCAAATAATGTCCTTTAATAGAATAAATGTAACTGCGGTCTAAGTGGAAGAGAGGGGTACGCAGAAGAATGTTAAATGCCCAGGGGGTACGCCGCTGTAAAAAGTTTGAGAACTACTGTTCTAAACTATAGCAAATAAACTGTGATATAATGTGAGAAATGTTGAAGGTGTCTGAATACATTTTGGTTTGACCGTAAAAGAGCAGAAAAGTCTAATTCTGCTTTTGATGTTTCAGATCGTTAGATAAATTATTGCACAGTACCAGTGCAATGACTCAAGTCATTTATTAATTTACCCTCCGCTTAATGTTGGTCATATTTAGTAAATATTCATCAATGGCTGGTTCTATACAACTGAATAATTGTTATTAGCTAAACCAGGCTTTCCCAAAACTAGGGTTTCATGAGTTGATGGAAAATACTGGGATGAAAGTTTTATAGTTCGGATATAAACACTGATGTCTATGGTAGCGATCAAAATCGAGCAAATCACCTTTTAAAAGTAACTGGCGCTTCAAATAAGGTTTGTGTCGATTGCGTTGGCAACAAGGGACTGTTAAAAAATGTATTTGTCATTGATTCATTCATTCAAGAGATTCGTTCAAAAACACTGATTCACCCAGTAATGAAGGGAAGTATTCATTGAATCATTCGTTCAAACCAATTTTTCATAATTTTAATATTAAAAATAGCTTTTTTAAATATATTATATTTTAAATATATATTTTATATATATAAAATTTTAACAATTACAAATTAAATTAAAAACTTTTAAACTGACTGCAGGAATTAATATTTTGTGTCAGCCTTTTGTAAATTACGCATTTATTTGTTAACTTCAGAATCGTGATCTGAGCGAAACACGTTTTGTGATCCGTGTTCCTTTATTGATGCTGTTGCTTTAATTAAAGTCACGTTTCTTTCAGGCGATCCGCTGAGCGTTTTTAATCAAGCCTCGTAACTGTTCATTTGCTGTCAGACTAACATTTACACGGAGGCTGATAACACAAGGCCTCTCGGGCTATAATTCAGCCCTGTGTGTGTGTGTGTGTGTGTGAGTGAGTGTGTCTGTGTGCGTGTGTGAGTGAGTGAGTGAATGAGTGTGTGTATGTGTGTGTGTGTGAGAGTGAGTGTGTGAGAGTGAGTGTGTGTGAGAGTGAGCGTGTGTGTGTGAGTGTGCGTGAGCGTGTATGTGTGTGTGTGAGTGTAAGTGAGTGCGTGCGTGCGTGAGTGTGTCTGTGAGAGTGTGTGTGCGTGAGTGTGTGTGAGTGTGTGAGTGTGTGAGTGTGTGTGTGTGCGTGAGAGTGCGTGCGTGTGTGTGTCTGTGAGTGTGAGTGAGTGCGTGCGTGAGTGTGTGTGTGTGTGTGCGTGAGTGTGTGTGTGCGCGCGTGAGTGTGTGCGTGCGCGTGTGAGTGAGTGCGTGTGAGTGAGCGTGTGCGTGCATGTGTGTCTGTGAGAGTGTGTGTGCGCGCGTGTGAGTGAGTGTGTGCGAGCGTGTGAGTGTGTGCGAGTGAGTGAGCGGTTTGCGTGAGTGTGTGAGCGTGCGAGAGTGAGAGTGTGTGAGCGTGTGAGCGTGCGGGAGTATGAGAGTGTGTGTGTGAGCGTGCGTGAGTGTGTGTGTGTGAGTGAGTGAGTGAATGAGCGCGTGTGTGAATGTGAGCGTGTGAGAGTGTGTGTGTGAGCGTGTGTGTGTGAGCGTGTGAGTGAGTGAGTGAATGAGCGTGTGAGTGCGTGTGTGTGAGTGAGTGAATGAGCGTGTGAGTGCGTGTGTGTGAGCGTGCGTGTGAGTGAGCGTGTGAGTGAGTGAGTGAATGAGCGTGTGAGTGAGTGAATGAGCGTGTGAGTGAGTGAATGAGCGTGTGAGTGAGTGAGTGAATGTGAGTGCGTGTGTGTGAGCGTGTGAGTGAGTGAGTGAATGAGCGTGTTAGTGAGTGTGTGTGAGCGTCTGTGAGTGAGTGAATGAGCGTGTGAGTGAGTGTTTGTGAGCGTGTGAGTGAGTGAATGAGCGTGTGAGTGAGTGTGTGAGCGTGTGAGTGAGCGTGTGTGAGCGTGTGAGAGAGTGAATGAGCGTGTGAGTGAGTGAATGAGCGTGTGTGTGAATGAGTGAGTGAATGAGCGTGTGAGTGCGTGTGTGTGAGTGAATGAGCGTGTGAGCGTGTGTGTGTGAGTGAGTGAGTGAATGTGTGTGTGAGTGCGTGCGTG